TGGTGAGTGTGTATATCCGGGTGTAAGTGTGTGTGTGTGGGAGGTGGGGATGTGAGTGGAATCAGTGGATGTGTGTGTGTGTGTGTGTGAGGTGGGAATATGAGTGGATGTGTGTGTGGGTGTGCAGGGGTGTGTGTGTGTGTGTGTGTGTGTGTGTGTGTGTGTGCGCGCGTCGATTTGAGCACAAGACCAAAGGATATGGAATTTGGTCAGGGGGTGGACTCAACCTGTTTCCTTTGGCATTTTTTGTCGTTTTGCAGATGGGGAAGAGAAAGAATGTGGACATGTGTGGGGTCAATCTGATGTGTTAAGGCAGATTGCTGGGATCCAGAGAAGAGGTGGGGATGATGATGGTGCATGCTCAAGTGGAAGTGATGCAGAAGACATGTTTGAGAATTTGTTAGGCGTCATCGATACACTGCATATACGGGTAGAGAACTTGCGGAACCAACTTGGTAGAAACCACTCTTCTCGAAAAGCTGCAGCAGCAAGGCTGCTTGCTCTGCAGCTTCAGCAGCCAAATCTACCACGACCTCCTTCTACGGGCCTGCTCGTTCCTGTACAGCGATCGGCGACTGCCACGGGCTGTTTATCTGTATCCCCTTCGAAACTGTTGGCTGCAGAGATTGGAACACACATTGTGAAGTCAGAGCCATTGTTGCCAACGGTGCAGCCAGTCGGGGCTGGCAGGGGAGGAAGGCTATCAGTGGCAATCCCTGTAAGCGGACTGGAAGCGCCTCCACTGCTGCGATCTTCTTGTCTGCCACTGCCCATCGCCACAGGTTTTCTGGAGAGCAGAACAGAAAGCCTGTCTGACAGGCCAGGGGAGGATCTAATGACAGCAACAACTAGCCTGCCCAGCTCTGCAGCCACAGTTTATGAGGCATTTGCAAGTGGTGGGAAGGTGGGCGGAGGGAGGAATACGATAGGAGTCTCAAGGGCTGGATTAGTGACAGCAGCTGGCCGCGTTGATCAGAATTGTACAGACCATAGCAACAATAACCTCTCTGCCCAGCTGTACGGGCCGCATAATGGTGTTTTTGGTGTGCCTCTGGCGATGGGAAATGATGCATTGGTCGCATCTGCTACCAAGGGCTTGCCAGTGGCGTTCCATCATGTACTCGAATTGGACCAGGTGATGGGAGGCACCACAGCACGAAGTCTAGAAGGCAAAGATGATGTCCATAGCAGTCACAGCAATGGGCTTGAGGGCTTGGCTGCAAATATTGCAAACGATAGCAGCGAGGTACTTCATCTTTCCTATTCCTCGTTTCTATCTGTACCATTGGGCTATATGTCTATGAGAGTCGTGTATGTACCATTCAGCCACAAGGCATGCTGTACATTTTCCCCTGTTTTTTCGGCAGTGAGGACAGGATGGATTTCCACGCAGAGCATTGTACGGCATTGTCATTGTTTCCCACCCAGTGTCAAAAGATCATTCAAGCAGACCTTTGAAGTAAGTCTGCACACGCAAAAGCATCAGAACAAACGTACTTGTTTGGCATCATCTTAATCCAAATATGTGAACACTGTGAGAGGGTCTGAGAAGAAAGGACTGGGGGCACCACTTTTAATATTCCATGACCTTGATCATGATACCACAGCCAATTTTACTAAAATTTCTTTCACCGTTCATGCGACTCGTCTATAACAAAGCAAACGAAGCAGAAATAAATGACACGTGTCCTTCAGGACGTCTGTTGAAATTGGAACGAGATTAACCTGACCCCTGTGCAAGGACGACTGGGATAAGTCGTGTAATCAGTATTGCATACCCCGACGGACGGCGGCCCTTGACTGATCGGATGCCAACCAACCGACCGGCTGGCTGGTCGGCACCTACCGGTCGGGGGGTCATCGGCACCGCGCAATTGTTATTATTATTTTATTTTATTATTTTATTTTTATTTTTTTTTGTTGTTATTTTTTATTTTTTTTGGGTCCTAGACTTCAGAACCCCTAATAAGGTATAACCCAACCAATACCCCCATACCTGCCCCCAATACCTGCCCCCAGCACCCTCATACCCCCTCCAATACCCCCCCCCTTATGCCAACCCTGTATCCCCCTATATCCCCCTATACCCCCCTTATAGTCCCCCCCCCAACCTCCCCAATACCCCCCCTCATCCCCAAAAGCTTCTCAGTGGATTTGGGCTGTACTACACAAGCGCAGTACAGCCCCCAACTCAGATTTGAAAAAATGTAAGTGGATGGCTGTTTTCTGACTGGTCAGCAGACCGCCGACCGGTCGGCCCTACTGGCCGGCTGCAATACGGTCGGCGGTCGGGATAGTGGTCGGGGTAGGCGGGTATGCAACCCTGCGTGTAATGGTAAAACCTAGGCTACAAGACTCAGCCAGCCGGCCCCACCCGGACCCGGGTGACTGGGACCCACCTGCCCAGGGAGGGGGAAGAATCAGAAGATGGCACACAGACAGAAAAGCAGGAAGCACACAGATGAAATTGGAATGAGATTAACCTGACCCCTGCCCAAGGATGACTGGGATAGTGGTAAAAACCTAGGCTACCAGACTCAGCCAGCCGTCCCACCCGGACCCAGGTGACTGGGACCCACCTGCCCAGCGAGGGGGAAGAATCAGAAGATGGCACACAGACAGAAAAGCAGGAAGCGCAGAGATAAAATTGGAATGAGATTAACCTGACCCCTTCCCAAGGATGACTGGGATAATGGTAAAAACCTAGGCTACCAGACTCAGCCAGCCGTCCCACCCGGACCC